CTTCCTTGCATGGAACAGATTGGCTGGAGGAACTGGAGTTGTGTATTTTTCTTCCCACATGTGGTAGGCAGAGCCAACTATAATTGAGTACTTCTCTTTGGTCTTGTAGGTTAGATTGTGATATAACGCCAGCAGGTTAAGCTTGGGTAAAAAGTTTCTCCCAAGGGCAAGCCTTGTTAAGAAAACAGAATGCTCTTGTATACTTAAAAATAATTTATTTCCTCTCCCCCTGTAAAAAGCACAAGGGTATATTTCTCTGATATTCACAGCAAGGACCTGGTAGAACTTCTGGAGATTAAACTCACAAAATGTGAGGGCCCCATTGACGACTAGCCCTGTGGTGTTTTTCTCTCTCTTGCTTGTCCATGTTGAACCTTCGGCAATTCCTCAATTAGTTTAGGTTTTCCTGTCCTCACACTGGTTCCTATGGAGGTTTCTGCTCTGATAAGTTGTAATTCCCTGTACCCACCTATCTGTAGCTCCAATTACTTGCCCTGTGACCTCACTTCTCTGACAGAATAAGAAGTCTTTTTGATTTTTTAGTTTATTTAGTTTTTCACTTGCTAGGATGGAGTGAAGCCTTCTAAAGTCCTCACATGATGGATTGGAAACCATAAATACTATCATTTTTTTTATCCCAGTTATTGTATTTTTTGTATTTCAGTTAAGCTTTACTTGGTTTGTTTCTAAATTTTCTTATTATGTATAATTGCCTTTTTCCTGATGAATTTTATTTTTGGCTGTGCTGGGTCTTTGTTGCTGCATGGGCTTTCCTCTATTTGTGGTGAACAGGCTTCTCATTGCAGGGGTTTCTTTTGTTGCAGGGCACAGGCTCTAGAGTGCACAGACTTCAGTAGTTGCAGCATGTCAGCTCAGTAGCTATGGCTCCCAGGCTCTAGAGCACAGGCTCAATAGTTGTGGCACATGTGCTTAGATGCTCCGCAGCATGTGGGATCTTCCCTGGTCAGCGACTGAACCCGTGCCTCCTGTATTGGCAGGTGGATTCTTTACCACTGAGCCACCCAGGAAGCCCCTCTTGATGAATTTTTTATATTTGTCTTTCACTTATTTCAAAATATTGCAAGTTACTTTATTTCTGGGCTTGACTATATCAATACCTTAGGTCTTTGCAGATCCATTCCTGCTGATTCTTACTCTCATGGTGTCTTCTTTCCTTGTGCGTTTAGTAGGGTTTTTTTTTTATTATTATTAGTATTAATAATGCAAGCTGCTCACTTAGCCTATGAGAATTTCTTGATTTCTGGGATAAACATAGGTTCCTACAGAGAGGATTTTGTAGCTTCTCTCAGATACTTGGGCAGGCAATTAGTCTAGAAGGACTGCAAAATATAATCTCAGCTTACATGTTTTTGAGTAATCTAGGTTGTGTGAATTCTGGCTGAGAAGCTGTAAGAGGGATGTCTCTGGTTATAAATCCTCAGGAACTACTTTTCTTCTTCTATACAGTCCCCACAAAAAAGTCTCTCAAGAAATGTTCTCTGCCATGGTCAAGGGTTGGAGGGGTAATATTTATTTAATACATACATGGAGAAGATCTCCTGTTTGACTTCCCACTTTGGGCATGTCTTCTTGTCCCCTGATCCCTATAATGCTGTGACAACCAGAGCTCAAACTCACATGGTTTGGCAAATATCCTCTAGACAAAAAGGCAACTTTACAACTCCAGTTACCTTTATGAATTCCCACTTTTATTTGGTTTTGAGTTTCAGTATTCAGTTCAGTTCAGTTGTGTCCAACTCTTTGCAACCTCATGGACTGCAGGACACCAGACTTCCCTGTCCATCATCAACTCCCGGAACATGCTCAAACTCACGTCCATCGAGTTGGTGATGCCATCCAACCATCTCATCCTCTGTTGTCAATCTTTCCCAGCATCAGGGTCTTTTCAAATGAGTCAGTTCTTCATATCAGGTGGCCAAAGTACCAGCGTTTCAGCTTCAGCCTCAGTCCTGCCAATGAATATTCAGGACTGATTTCCTTGAGGATTAACTGGTTTGATCTCCTTGCAGTGTAAGGGACTCTCAAGAGTCTTCTCCAACACCACAGTTCAAAAGCATCAATTCTTCGGTGCTCAGCTTTCTTTATAGTCCAACTCTCACATCCATGCATGACGACTGGAAAAACCATGGCTTTGACTAGACAGAACTTTTTTGGTAAAGTAATGTCTCTGCTTTTTAATATGCTGTTTAGGCTGGTCATAGCTTTTCTTCCAAGGAACAAGGGTCTTTTAATTTCATGGCTGCAGTCACCATCCATAGTGATTTTGGAGCCCAGGAAAATAAAGTCTGTCATAGTTTGTTGTGATCCACACAGTCAAAGGCTTTGGCGGTTCAGTAAAGCAGAAGTAGATGTTTTTCTGGAACTCTCTTACTTTTTCTATGATCCAACAGATGTTGGCAATTTGATCTCTGTATTATTTTCAGTATTTATATTATTATTATCTGCATTATTTTCAGTATTATTAGTTTCAGCATTATTTTCCATCTTATCATACAATCAGTGCTTATAAAATATAGTTTTTAAATTTTATTTAACATTTTAATTGTTTTCATTTTAACATGTGTTAACCATTTTATTTTATTTTTCCATTTATCTGTATTAGTTGGAGGCTAATTACTTTACATCATTGCAGTGGTTTTTGTCATACATTGAAATTAATTAGCCATGGATTTACATGTATTCCCCATCCCGGTCCCCCCTCCCACCTCCCTCGTGTTAACCATTTTAAATTGTTTAAATTTTAAAAGTGTGGAGATTGATCAGGATTCCTACGCCAATAGGTTGCTGGAAGCCTAATACCCTAATGGACGCCATTTTCAAACCCAATTTGGTCAGATCTGTAATCAGTTTTAATAGATATATCTTGGTCAATAGATCATACAGAGAGAAATATCCCACAGCATCTGTATTCTGTGCTATATATTTTTCACGTCAATCAGAGCCCATTAAAACCTGATCCATTACAAGATGGCATGGGATGAAAAAAAATCTCTGCTCAACAAGGATGATCTGGATCAGTCAGACTCTCGTGAGTTAGAATCTGAGAGTAAATATGGAGTCAATCATTGAACATATGCTGAGCTTTCACGTGTCTTAGATTCTATCAGATAGACAGCAGAACATGAACATTCTGAGGAAACTAAAGTTATTAAATAGAGAAGACCCATAGAAAGCAGACAAGGACACTAGTTAGCTGACAGAAGGAGAAGGTAACAGAAGTAGAGAAGCTCACAGGAGCCGAAGAGATCAGGTTCACAAAGTTCTGAGTTCTGAAGAAGTATCCCATCCAGTTCTACGATTCTACAGTCTTTCTACAATTCCAATACTTCGATCCCTATGACCTATCTTCCTAAGGATCCCTAGGATCCTCTCCCCCATCCTTGCAATGGTCTCTCATCATGCATGCTAGCTTTTGTGACATTCCTTGAAACTAATGGAAGCAGTAATGACTATTTCATCACAGCCATGATGTAATGCCACCTTTATGTTGAGCACATAAAGTCCAGGAGAACATGGTCAGCAAGGAAATCTTTGCAGATTTGTCCCTCCACCTGAATGAGCTGAGTTACATATGATCTTGGTATGGTTTCACTTCTGGAAAGCAATGAAGTGCCATCCATAAGTGATTAAACAAGCAAGTAGAATCTGACAGTAGGTCTTAGGTCTTGTTACAGTATCAAGGGGACTAATAACCCAAAGTCTTGGGGATATAGGCTACATGAACACATTAAGTTTGACATATCCCCTATGCTGCTATCCTGTTTACTCTCAGTTGTGCAGAACAGAGTTAAGCCTGAGAAAGCTTCCTTAGGGAGACATGCTTGAAAAGTCAGCTATTCACTGGTGACAAGGAATCTGGATTTTGAGAATTCCACAATTCCCTAACTGATAAGGTCATTTACTGCAACTAAACTGTACAAGCAATGTAGTTTATGCTGCTTTCCTTATGAGACTGGAATTTTGGTAGAAGCCATCAGAGGGTGCCTATGTGATTGAAAGTGTTAGTTGCTCAGTTGTGTCCAACTCTGTGACCCTGTGGTTTGTAGTCTGCCTGGCTCCTCTGTCCATAGAATTCTCCAGGCAAGAATACTGGAGTGGGTTACCATTTCCTTCTCCAGGGGGTCACCCCAACCTGGGGACTGAACCCAAGTCTCCTGCATTGCAGGCAGATTCTTTACCATCTGAGCCAAAAGGGAAGCCCCCATGTGAATGAACCCCAATAAAAACCCTATGCTTCTAGACTCAAGTTATCCTCCCTGGCATCTATGTTGTCATTAGTCATTGTTGGAGGAATAAAGCACTTCCTGTGTGGCTCTAATAGAAGAGTACTCTTAGAAACTTAGATCTGATTTCCTCTAGACTGCACCTGTTTTGTCTTTTTCCTTAGGTGACTATACCTGTATCATTTTACTGGAATAAATCTTAGTCACAATTACATCTATATGTGCAATCCCATGAGTCCCAGGGAATCACTAAACCAGGGGATGCCAGTGATTAGAAAGTTTGTACAACACAGGAGTGTACAAAATCCAGAAAATAAAAGTCATTAATTTAATGTGCAAATATGAGGACACAGACTTAGAGGGTGTTTGGTAGCAATAGAAGGAGGAAGGACTGAATGTAAGTTAAGAAACCCAGAACAAGAGACAGACGAGGCCTGAGTGAAGATATGTGGCACCAATATCCCTGCTCTTCTAAAGTATTATAGCTAATAACAGGGAAGGATTATAGATGGGCTACAAAAGAAGAGGACCATGGTGTGGGTGGGACTCAGAGACCCTATATTTTCATCCTCAGCTCTGCTCTGTCTCTGATAGATGTGGAGTGAACAGAAATCACAACCTACTCCATGGCACTTGTTACAGAAGACGCACCATGTGGTAGGTGTAAGACCCCTTATGTCACAGTTATGACTATGATCTTTTAACTCACCTCTCCCTCCCTTCCTACCAGTGACACGACTCTCAGCAACCATATGAGTGTTGGCTGTCATCCAGAGCCATGGCCAGATCTACTCTGGTGGTTTCCACAAGATTTGGGCTATCATGTGCCTTCTTAAATCCTGAGATAGTATAGGAAGCCACAAGGAATAAAACACCACATCTTTTACTCATATATGTAATAGTAACAGAAAACTGGCCAATATGTTAGATTGAAGACATCGGAGACACAATCCTATGGCAGCGGGAATAGGTAAGTGTACTTATTAGCACAGAAGCAAAAGATACATGGAAGTTCCATAGGAATAAATAGAATCTTAATTATTTAAATATGAACGCTTATTAACCCAGGGCAGAGAATCTGGCTTTTTTGTTGGATCCAGAGTCTTCGATAGCCAGAGCTCAACACTGTTTTCTCGCTCCCTCTCACCCTCCCCTTTCCAGACTTGGGGGAGGGGTTGTTTCTGAATGAAAGATGGAGAATGGTGGAAAGAAGAATCAGCGAAGTCTGAACAAGGAGTAGGAGAGAAGGACAAGACTAGGGATTAGAAGGAGTTGTATATGGAAGACCTGGACTAGAAATATTTTGTAACAGAATAAGAGTAAAGGGGTTAGGATCAAGAAAAGAGAAGTCAGGGAAAGGATAAGAAAGGCCCAAAGTCTTCTGGCTGAAGAGATGGCAGCATACAGGAAGCCACAAGCCTTGGATGGGGACTGGCAGGGTTAGCCATAAAAGAGTTGGAAGGTCACTACCTGGGTGGAGTATAGAGAGGGGAATGTGACCTGAAATTATTAAGGTTGGCACAAGAAAATTTCCAAAACTCATACGGTCTCCTCCAGATCTAACATACAAAAAGTAGAAAGAATAAGAAGCCCAAACTCAAAAAACAAAGTGATGTGCCCTCAGGAGAAAAGGGTTACTATTCAGGTAACAACAAAATATTAATAAAGCAGATCCTACAGCAAGATAAAAGAACTGCACACTGTGATCAAGTGGAAATTTTCCCCGGGACTTAACGTTCAACACACAAAATCATCTAAAGTAATAAAGCACATTAACAGAACAAAGAAAGGAAATTCACATGATCCCCTCCATGCAGCAAAAACTTTGACAAAATCCAACACCCTTTCTGGATAAATACACTCAGAAAACAAAAAAATGGAAGATCCTCAACATGGTAGAAAGTACTTATGAAAAAATCCCAGCTAACATCATACTCAAAGGTAAAAGGCTGACAGCATTTTCCTCCCAAGATTAGGAACAAGACAAGAAGGCCCACTTCACTGTTTTTCAACACTGTACTGAACTTCTAACCAACAATTAGATAAGAAAAAAGAAAAGCATCCATATTGGAGAGGAAAGAGTAAAGTTATCTCTGTTCACAAATGACATTATCCTATCTATAGAACATTCCAAATAGGGACTTCCCTGGTGATCCAGTGGTTAGGACTCCATGCTCTGCTTCAGGGGTTCAATCCCTGGTCAGGGAACTAAGATATGGCATGCCATACAATGAGGCAAAAAAAAAAAGCTCCAAAATAATTGTTTTAACTATTAGAACTAATAAATGAATTCAGCAAAGTTGTGGATACAAAACAACACACACATAGCTGTGTTATTATATATCAGCAATGAACAATATGAAAGGAAATTAAGAAAACAATTCTACAATTTATAATACTATCAAAAAGAATAATACATCTATGAATAAATTAACTCAAGAAGGCGAAAGACTTGTACATGGAAACTAAAAAACATTGCTGAAAGAAATTACAGAAGACCTAAGCAAATGAGGCCTGGCGTGCTGCGATTCATGGGGTCGCAAAGAGTCGGACATGACTGAGCGACTGAACTGAACTGAACTGAAGCAAATGAGAAAACATGTTGTGTTCATGGATTTAAGGACTTAATAATTTTTGTTATGATAGCAATACAGTTGGCCCTCCCTATCCACAGATTCCATATCCACAGATATGAAGGCTATATCTATGAATACACTATACATCCACTACACTTTGCCATTTTATATAAAGGACTTGAGTATCTGTAAATTTTGGTATATAAGGGAAGTCCTGGAACCAATCTCCACAGATACTAGGGACAACTTGTACTCCACAAAGTGGTCTACAAATCCAATGCAATTCCTATCAAGATTTCAATGATCTTATTTACAGAAATGAAAAGGCAGATCTTCAAATTACTATGGAATTGCTATGAATCTTGAAGAGTCAAAACAATCTTGAAAAAATAAGAACAAATTTGGAGGACTGACATTTTCTAATTTCAAAATTTACTAAAAAAACTATCATAATAAAAACAAGGCAGTACTATCATGCACAAAAATGAACTCATAATGGCTTAAAGACTTAAACATAAGACATGACACCATAAAACTCCTAGAAGAAAGCATAGGCAAGACATTTTGTGACATAAATCATACCAATGTTTTCTTAGATCAGTCTCCCAAGGCAATAGAAATAAAAACAAAAATAAACAAATGGGATCTAATAAAACTTACAAGCATGTAAACAGCAAAAGAAACCATATATAAGAAAGGAAGGAAGAAAGAAAAGACAACCTATGGAATGGGAGAAGATACTTGCAAATGATGAAACAGAAAAGGAATTCATCTCCAAAATATTCAAACAGCTCAACAACAACAAAACAAACAACCCAATTGAAAAATGGGCAAAGACCTTAATAGACATTTCTCCAAAGAAGACATATAGATGGCCAGTAGGCACATGAAAAGATGCTCAGCATCGCTAATTATTAGAGAAATGCAATCAAAACTACAGCGAAGTACCACCTCACACCAGTCAGAATGGCCATCATCAAAAACTCTACAAATGCTGGAGAGGGTCTATAGAAAAAGGAACCCTCCTATACTGTTGGCAGGAATGTAAGCTGGTGCAGTCACTATAGAAAACTACATGGAAGTTCCTCAGAAAACTAAAAACAGAATTACCATACGATACAGCAATCCCAATCCTGGTCCCAGACAAAACTAAAATTCAAAGATACATGTACCCCTATGTTTACAGCAGCACTGTTCACAATAGCCTAGACATGGAGACAACCTAAATGTCCACTGACAGATGAATGGATACAGATGATGTGGTACATATATACAATGGGATACTACTCAGCTATAAAAAAGAATGAAATAATGCCATTTGCAGCATCATGGATGCAACCAGAGATGATCATACTGACTGAAGTAAGCTAGAAAGAAAAAGACAAATACCATATGATATCACCTAGATGTGGGATCTAAAATATGGTACCAATGAACCTATCTACAGAACAGAAACAGACTCACAGACATAGAGAACAGACTTGTGGTTGCCAAGGAGGAGGGGGTGGGGGAGGGAAAGACTGGGAGTGGTGGATTAGCAGATGTAAACTATTATATATAGGATGGATAAACAACAAGGTCCTACTGTATACCACTGGGAATCATACTCAATATCCTGTGATAAACCATCATGGAAAAGAACATGAATGTCTATATCTGTCTAACTGAGTCACTTTGCTGTACAGCAGAGATTGGTATGACATTGTAAATCTACTATACGTCAATTAAAAAAAAAGAAAGCAGTGTGGTGCTGGCATAAGGACAGACACAGTACTGGGATACCTACATATCCATATGCAAAAAAAGAAGTTGGATTTCTACCAGCGTACATAAAAATTAAAATGGATCAATGCCCTAAATATAAAAGGTAAACCCATAAGATTCTTTTTTTGATATCTTTTTATTGACGTGAAATTCACATAACATTAACCATTTCAAAATGTACAATTCAGTGCCATTTAGTACAATACAGTCCCAACATTTTGCAACCACCACCTCTATCAAGTAGCAAGAGCATTTTTGAGAGGGCACATGTGGGGAAAAGAAGGTTTACATGGATGCTGGGCAGTCATTGGGTGAAATGCAATGTGTTTGCCCACCGCCTCTTGCTTTGAACAACCCTGCCCCTTCTCCATGGGGTGCTGGCTGGATCTGTCAGTCCCCAAACCACCTCCTACATCCACTTAAAGGGGAGGGCATGTGATCCACGCTATCCCACAGGCAGTAGAACCTGTAAAACCATAAAATTCGTATAAGAATACAATGGGATAAATCTTTATGAGCTTGAATTTGGCAAATGGATTCTTAGATATGACACCAAAAGCATGAGTAACAAAAGAAAAAAGATAAATTCATTCATTAAAATTAAAAAACAAACAAACTTATGTGCACCAAAGGACATTGTTAAGAAAGATAAAGACTGGAACTTCCCTGGTGGTCCAGTGATTAAGACTTTCACTGCAGGGGGTGTGGGTTTGATCCACGGTCAGGGTCAGGGAACTAAGATCCCCCACGCTGCATGCATGGAGGGGGGGGGGGGGGGGTAGGGAGCCAGGAGGGGGGTAGAAAGAAAAGAAAGAAAAAAGACAACCTACAAAATAGGAGAAAATACTTGCAAATCATATATCTGATAAGGGTCTAGTATTCAAAATATATAAAGGACTCTTATAACTCAACAACAAATATGCAAACAAGCCAATTTTAAAATGGGCAAAGGACTTGAATAGACATTTCTCTAAAGAAGTTATGCAAATGACTAACAAACACATGAAAGATGTCCTGTAAGAATTGAGAATAGGTACTCAATTAAATATTTGTACATGACTGTTTATAGCAGCACTATGTGCAATAAATAAAAGGTGGAAACTACTCACAGCAGCACTGTTCACAATAGCCAAGTCATGGAAACCTGAATCTCCACTGACAGATGAATGGATACAGTGGATGTTCATCAGTGGATGAATGGATAAGCAAAATGTAGTGTATACATACAATGAAATATCATTCAACCAAGAAAATGAAGTACTAATAAAACACAGATGAACACAAAACACATTATGCTAAGTCAAAGAAGCCAGACATACAAAGTCACACATTGCATGATTCCATTTTTATGGAACATTCAGGATAACTAAATCAACAGAGATAGAAAGTAGACTGACGGATGGTTTTGTGAGGGGCTGGAGAAAGGAGAAATGGGGAGTAACTTTAATAACACAAAGTTTTTTTGGAGGTGATGAAAATGTTTTGGAACTAGATAGAGGTATTGGTTGTTCAACACTGTGAGTTTACCAAATGTCACTGTATTGTTCACTTTAAAATTACTTTATGTTATGTTAATTTTACCTCAGTCAGTTCAGTTGCTCAGTCGTGTCTGACTCTTTGCAACCCCATTAATTGCAGCACGCCAGGCCTCCCTGTCTTATCAACTCCTGGAGTCTACCCAAACTTATGTCCATTGAGTCGGTGATGTCATCCAACCATCTCATCCTCTGTTGGCCCCTTCTCCTCCTGCCCTCAATCTTTCCCAGCATCAGGATCTTTTCACCTCACTAAAAAAAAAAATTTTACCTCACTGAAAAAAAAATAGTATGGATAAAAAAATAGGGAAAAATTTCACAAACTTCAAGCAAGCATAGAATTTCTGAACAGGACATAAAAAGCACTAAGCATTAAAAAAACTGATAAACTGTACTTCAGCCAAATTTAAGCCTTTTCTCATTAATAGAACAAGATGATTAAAAGCAAAGCTACAGAGTAGGGAAAGAATTCACAATACATTTATCTGATAAAGGACTCATCCTGAATATGTATCCTGATTCAAACATATCAATATTAAAAGATAACCCAATAAAAATGGGCAGAAGGCCTGAAAAAATACTTCAAAAAGATCTATGAATCGTCAAAAAGTACATGAGATATTTATTATAATTAATAACCAGAGAAATACAAATTAAAACCACAGTAAGATACCACCACACACACATGCATGAGTGTGTGAGTTAAAGGACTGACAGGTGATAAAGAGATGGAGTATCTGGAGTCCTCATATATAGCTGCAAAATGATACAATTACTTGAGAAAAAAAATTGGAATTTTTAATAAAGATTTTAAACAAACAAACACTGACCCCATGACTCAACCTTTTAGGCATTTACTAGAGAAGTGAAAACTTACATCCACAAAAAGTCTTGCCCAGAAGTGTTCAGTGTGTGTGTATACATACATATACATATATCTTTAAAAACTGGACACAATCCAAAATATACATCAACAGGAGAATGGATAACCAAATTATGGTGTATTTGTACAATGGAATACTATTCGGCAGTAAAAAGGAACAAAGACCTGATTCTCACAACATGAATAACATGATGGTAAGCAGAATGAGAAAAAAAAATCAGACACAAGAACATATATGGTATGGTTCCGTCTTACAAAGTTCCGTTACAGGCAAAAACTCATCTATAATGATCGAAATCAGAACAGTTGTCTCTAGGAGGAAGTGGGAATGGGCTGGAAAAGGGGCCTCAGGGAACTTTCACGAGTAATGGGAAATCTAGATTTGAGTGATGTTTACATGGGTGTACACATTTGTCAAAATTCACAGACTTGTACCCTTAAAAATCTATGCATTTTAAATATGTAAAATACTTCTCAATATTTGTTTTAAAATCACACAGGCATCAGACTTTTCTACAGCAACATTCAAAGCTAGAAGACAGTAAAGAAATGTCTACCAAGTTCTGAAGGAAGGACTGTGGACCATGAGGAAGGTGGTCAAAAGGTACAAACTTCCAGTTATAAAATAAATAAGTACTAGGGATATAACTGGAGAAGGCAATGGCACCCCACTCCAGTATTCTTGCCTGGAAAATCCCATGGGCAGAGAGGAGCCTGATGGGCTGCAGTGCATGGGGTGACGAAGAGTCAGATATGACTGAGCAACTTCACTTTCACGCATTGGAGAAGGAAATGGCAGCCCACTCCAGTGTTCTTGCCTGGACAATCCCAGGGATGGCAGAGCCTGGTAGGCTGCCGTCTATGGGGTCACAAAGAGTCGGACACGACTGAAGCGACTTAGCAGCAGCATCAGCAGGGATATAACCTGGAGGAAGAAATGGCAAGCCACCCCAGTATTCTTGTCTGGGAAATCCCATGGACAGAATAGCCTGGTGGGCTGTGTCCATGGGATCACAAAAGAGTCGGACATAACTTAGTAACTAAACAACAACAATGAAGAGGGATATAACATGATGACTATAGTTGACAGTGCTGTGTGATACACATGGAAGTTGTGAAGAGAGTAGATTCTAAGAGTTCTCATTACAAGGAAAAGTTTTTTTTTCTTAAATTTTTCTTTTTATTGTATCTATATGAGATGATTCTCCATGCAAGAATACTGGAGTGGGTTGCCATTTCCTTCTCCAGGGGAACTTCCCAACCCAGGGATCAAACCTGGTGCTCCTGCATTGGCAGTCAAGTTCTTTACTGCTAGCACCATCTAGGAAGCTATGAGATGATGGATGTTAAATAAACTTACTACAATAATTATTTCACAATATATGTAAATGAAGCCTTTATGATGTACACCGTAAACTTACATAGTGATGTGTGTCAATTATATCTCAGTAAAACTGGAGAAAAAAGATAAAAATAAATTTTCTTTTAATTTAGAGGAGCTTGTTGGTTCACAAATTGGCCCTGTACATGGAAGGCAAAGAGAGACAGAAGAAAGAGGGAGATCACTCCAGATTAGTAGGTGGCATATTTAATAAGCAAGGGAACTTACTTTCAAGGTTCACTTTGGGCAGCTGCAGACAAGTAGATCTCTGCACACACTGACCAGAATCTTAAAAGTTTATGTAGAGGCCTTAATGGGATTTGGTCATGTACCATACAGATGTTCTCAACAACACATTACTCTGTCAAGGCTGCATCCTTGAAACAGCTCCCACTATGGGAATGGCAGGCAGACATACATTCCAAAGACAAGGAAGGGATAAGGAGCCTCTGATTTCCTGAGTCCAACTCAAGGATCAACCAGCATTATGCTCTCTGGATGACCTCCTCCAACAGAGCCTAAGGAGACTCAACAACTAAATATAATGTAGTGTCCTGGATGAGGTCCTAGAACAGAAAAAGGACATTAGGTAAAAACTAGGAAATATGACTTCAAAATATTTAAATCAGTCAACCTTTTATTCAAGCAAAAAAGCCAAGAGGCAAACATCCTAAGGTATGTTCACTTTGTAAAAAGATTTGAGATTTACTTCTATGAATTGTGTGCATTTTTCAATAAAAATTTATTTTATGTCTATATAATGGGTATATTAATAAAATCTACTTAATATAGGTATTGGATAAAATGAAATAACCTATGCACAATATGTATAATAACATATATATAAGAGATTCTTGAACACAATAAATAATAAATGCTGTTTATTGTTTATATTAAAAGGACAAGAACACTCCTGGTTTACATTTTTTTTTTAAATATTTATTTGGTTGTGCTGGGCCTTAGTTGTGGCATATGGGAGCTAGTTCCCTGACCAGGATCGAACCCAGGGCCCCTGCACTGGGAGCTCAGAGTCTTAGCCACCGGACCACCAGGGAAGTCCCCCTGGTTTACATTTTTAAAATTCTGGAAGGAGAGGGAGGAAGAGAATGGGAGTAAATATGAAAAAATACTAGGCAGAAATTGATAATTCTGAAAGGTAGCTAATGGGTCCACTGAGGTATTCTACTTTTTACATATAATTTTTCATAATAAAAAGGGGGATATAATCATTGGAAGCAAGGGAGTCTTTTTACTAAGAAGAATTTCTATTAAAATTTGGCAAAGTAAACTAATAAAACCTAAGATCTGAAATCTTTCCTGGGTAGTATGGTCAACATGGTGAGTAGGAAGACCCTGAGCTCATGGGTATACCGAAATCACAACTCTATAAAGAAACTATTGATAAGAAAAGTCAGAAGACTAGCAGAAAAGATCTACAACTAAAGATATAAAGAAGGAACCACAAGGAGTAGGAAAGGGAGAGATGTGGTAGAGTCAAGACCCATATCCCCAGATGGGAGAGCCACAAACAGAAGAACAATTATAATTTCTGAGGTTCTGTCCAAGGAGTGAGTGATCTAAGCCCTGCATTGAGCTTCCCAGCCCAGGAGTCTACTGCATTTATATACAGTTAGAACAAACTATCAGCAAAATAAATTAATAAAATAATTCTATTTACAATCACATCAAAAGAAATATAACACCTAGGAATAAATCTAAGGAGGTGAAAGATCTGTATTCGGAAAACTTTATGAGGCTGATGAAAGAAACTGAAGATGACATAAGCTGAGAGAAAGATGTATCATGTTCATGGATTAGAAGAATTAACACTGTTAAAATGACCATACTATCCAAAGCAATCTACAAATTCAGTGCAATCTCTATTAGTACACCAATAGCATTCTTCACAGATCTAGAATAAATAATTCTAAAAATTTTAATAAAATACAAAAGCCCCCAAATAACCAAAACAATCTTGATAAAGAACAACAGAACTGAAGGTATCACACTCCCTGATTTCAAACTATATTATGAAGCTACAGTCATCAAAACAATATGTACTGGTATAAAAACAAGACACACAGATCGATGGAACAGAACAGAGAGTCCACAAATGAATCCACACGTATATGGGTTCAGTATATTAATGATTATATGGGGAATTAAGCTCTGACAAAGGAGGCAAGAATACACAATGGGAAAAAGACAGCCTCTTCAATAAATAGTGTTGGTAAAACTGGACAGCTGCATGCAAAAGAATCAAACCAGACTACTTTCTTACATCATGTACAAAAATAAATTCAAAATGCATTTAAAAACCAAGTATAATATGGTATGTCAACTATACTTCAATAAAAAATAAAAATAAATGGATTAAAAAATAAAATGAAAAGCTTAAATTTAAGACCTAAAACCATAAAACTTCTAGAAGAAAACATAAGCTGTAAGTTTTTTGACATTGGCCTTGATAATAATTTTTTTGGATGTGTCTCCTCAGGCAAGGGAAACAAAAGCAAAAATAAACCAAAAGGACTATATCAAACTAAAAAGCTTTTGCACAGTAAAGGAAACTATTAACAAAATGAAAAGGCCACTTACTGAATTGCAGAAGATATAACTGCAAATGATCTATCTGATAAGGGGTTAATATCCAAAATATACAAAAACTCAAACAACTCAAGATAGAAAGAATACACCCAACTCTCACATCCATACATGACTCCTGGAAAAACCATAGCTTTGACAAAATGGACCTTTGTTGGCAAAGTAATATCTCTGATTTTTAATATGCTCTCTAGGTTGGTCATAGCTTTTCTTCCAAGGAGCAAGCATCTTTTAATTTCATGGCTGCAGTCACCATCTGCAGTGATTTTGGAGCCCCCCAAAATAAAGTCTGTCACCATTTCCATTGTTTCTCCATCTATTTGCCATGAAGTGATGGGACCAGATGCCATGATCTTAGTTTTCTGAATGTTGAGCTTTAGGCCAACTTTTTCACTCTCCTCTTTCACTTTCATCAAGAGGCTCTTTAATTCTTCACTTTCTGTCATAAGGGTGGTGTCATCTGCATATCTGAGGTTACTGATATTTCTCCTGACAATCTTGACTCCAGCTTGTGCTTCATCCAGCCCAGCATTTTGCATGATGTACTCTGCATATAAGTTAAATAAGCAGGGTGACAATATTCAGCCTTGATCTACTCCTTTCCCATTTTCTTCATTACCTCCACCATAGTTTGGTCTCAGGTCAAACAACAGGGAGGGAACACAGACCCACACATCAACAGAAAACTGGATTAAACACTTACTGAGCATGGCCCCGCCAATCAGAACAAGACCCAGTTTCCCCCACAGTCAGTCTGTCCCATCAGGAAGTTTCCATAAGCCTCTTATCCTTATCCATCAGAGGGCAGACAGAATGAAAACCACAATCACAGAAAACTAATCAAACTGATCACATGGACCACAGCCTTGTCTAACTCAATGAACTATGAGTCATGCTGTATAGGGCCACCCAAGACGGATAGGTCATGGTGGACAGTTCGGACAAAATGTGGTCCACTGGAGAAAGCAATGGCAAACCACTTCAGTATTCTTGCCTTGAGAACCCCACGAACAGTATGAAAAGGCAAAAAGATATGACACTGAAAGATGAACTCCCCAGGTCAGTAGGTGCCCAACATGCTACTGGAAAAGAGTGGAGAAATAACTCCAGAAAGAATTAAGAGACAGACCCAAAGCAAAAACAATGCTCAGTTGTTGATGTGGCTGGTGATGGAAGTAAAGTCCAATGCTGTAAAGAACAATATTGCATAGGAACCTGGAATGTCAGGTCCATGAATCAAGGAAAATTGGAAGTGGTCAAACAGGAGATGGCAAGGGTGAAATTAACATTTTAGGAATTAGTGAACTAAAATGGACTCGAATGGGCAAATTTAACTTAGATGACCATTATATCTACTACTGTGGGTAAGAATCCCTTAGAAGAAATGGAGTAGCCCTTATAGTCAACAAAAGAATCCAAAATGCAGTACGTGGGTGCAATTTAAAAAATGACAGAATGATCTCAGTTTGTTTCCAAGGAAAACCATTCAATATCACAGTAATCCAAGTCTATGTCCTAATCAGGAATGCTGAAGAAGCTGAAGTTGAACAGTTCTATGAAGACCTACAAGACCTTCTAGAACTAACACCCAAAAAAGATGTCCTTTTCATCATAGGGGACTGGAATGCAAAAGTAGGAAGTCAAGAGACACCTGGAGTAACAGGCAAATTTGGCCTTGGAGTACAAAATGAAGCTGGGCAGAGGCTAACAGAGTTTTGCCAAGAGAACGCACTGGTCATAGCAAACACCCTCTTCCAACAGCACAAGAGAAGACTCTACACATGGACATCACCAGATGGTCAATACCGAAATCAGATGGATTATATTCTTTGCAGCCAAAGATGGAGAAGCTCTATACAGTCAGCAAAAACAAGACCTGGAGCTGACTGTGGCTCAGATCACGAACTCCTTATTGCCAAATTCAGACTTAAATTGAAGAAAGTAGGGAAAACCACTAGATCATTCAGGTATGACCTAAATCAAATCCCTTATGATTATACAGTGCAAGTGACAAATAAACTCCAGGGATTAGACCTGATAGACAAGAGTGCCTGAAGAACTATGGACGGAGATTTGTGACATTGTACAGGAGGCAGTGATTAAGACCATCCACCCAAAAAAAGAAATGCAGAAAGGCAAAATAGTTGTCTCAGGAGGCCTTACAAATAGCTGAGAAAAGAAGAGAAGTGAAAGGCAAAGGAGAAAAAGAAAGATATACCCATTTGAATGCAGAATTCCAAAGAATAGCAAGGAGAGATAAGAAAGCCTTCCTCAGCAATCAAGGCAAAGAAATAGAGGAAAACAATAGAATGTGAAAGACTAGAGATCTCTTCAAGAAAATTAGAGATATCAAGGGAACATTTCATGCAAAGAGGGGCTCAATAAAGGACAGAAATAGTATGGACCCAACAGAATCAGAAGATATTAAGAAGAGGTGGCAAGAATACACAGAAGAACTATACAAAAAAGATCTTCACGACCCAGATAACCATGATGGTGTGATCACCTACCTATAGCCAGACATCTTGGAATGCGAAGTCAAGTGGACCAGTTGAGCTATTCCAAATCCTCAAAGATAATGCTGTGAAAGTGCTGCACTCAATACGCCAACAAATTTGGAAAACTCAGCAGTGGCCACAGGACTGGAAAAGGTCAGTTTTCATTCCAATCCCAAAGAAGGGCAATTCCAAAGTGTTCAAACTACTGCACAATTGCCCTCATCTCACACACTAGTAAAGTAATGCTCAAAATTCTCCAACTGAGGCTTCAACAAGTATGTGAACGTGAACTTGCAGATGTTCAAGCTGGATTTAGAAAAGGCAGAGGAGGTTTGACAGACAAATTGCCAACCTCTGTTGGATCATCGAGAAAGCAAGAGAGTTCTAAAAAATATCTACTTATTTTATCAAAGAAAGCCTTTGACTGTGTGGATCACAACAAACTGTGGAAAATCTTAGAGGTGGGAATACCAGACCACCTAACCTGCCTCCTGAGAAATCTATATGCAGGTCAAGAAGCAACAGTTAGAACTGGACATGGAACAACAGACTGGTTCAAAATTTGGAATGACTATTAGATGACTAAGTAAGTTTGTTCGGTTGTTGTTTAGTCGCTAAATCATGTTTGATTCTTTTGCAACCCCATGAACTGTAGCCCTCCAAGATCCTCTGTCCATAGGATTCTCCAGGCAAGTATACCGGACTGGGTTTCCATTTCCTTTCCAGGGAATCTTCCCAACCCAGGGATCAGACCCTGAACTGTGTCTCCTGAATTGGCAGGCAGATTCTTTACTACTGAGCCACCAAACAGAATTTAAACATGATGAAACTGATGAAATCTGACAGGGAAAAACTACTAATCAATGATGTAATTTCACTTTAATACAGTATAAAATTACTAATTAATGAGAAATGTTCTCAATTTCTCAACAAGGAATTAATCAATCAATATAGTCTAAAATGAGAATATGGTTAATAAAAAAAAACATAATGCTGCAAGACTGCCACAGTGAGTTTCAGATTTTGTGAATCAAACTCACAAGACACAAGAGGCTATCCCAGCATCAAATTTGTTTCACTTGGAGAAATGATCCAGGACAGGGAGCTCAGTGTCCCAGGGTTCATGAGATCCAGACAGAATCTCTCATACCACCATCCCTGAGGGATGGGAACCAACATGAGTACAGACACAAGCACAGAAAAGCTACAGTGTCTGGGCTCCCTTCTCTGAAATACCTCAACAGCCCCATAGCACCTGTGTCCATCTGCCTTGCACCCATCTTTGCATTGGCAATGCACCAATGACAGGTTAGACAATCAGCAACCCTTGGACCAGATGCAGTGTGCCTCAGAAAGGTCATCCTCCTCTTGTTCATGTTGCAAGAAGGTTGACCACAGGTCAAACTGTCCTTCAATTCCCTGAGACTAAAGGAATATTCACCTCTAAATGTCACTGTCTCTTTTCTTAAACATACAGAGATCTTTCAGGGGAAAAATATCTTTAGAGGTGAAGAAATGTATGTGAAGTTCAGAGTTTATTCAGTTTCACTTCACTTTCTTCGATTAGAATCAAGTAAAATTAAATCTTAACTAAAAAAATAATAATAAACATATGGCACAATCCCATTTTTATGAAAGTATTTCTATCTCCATTCTATCTGTAAAAATGCACAGAAATATGTTTAGGATGCTGTAAAAGAAATGTCAATGATGGTTATATTTGAGTGATGAAACGAGGCAATATTTTTATTTTGTAGTTTTCTGCTTAAATTGTTTATGAGAATTTTTTTCAGAGAAAGAATAAAGCGATTTTTCTTTAAAACAAAAACCAAAACAAACAAAAAAACCCTGACATCTTGGCAAGAGTCCTCAGTTTTAAAGCGTCCATGTTTATTTTCTTTCTCTTGCTCCTCCCGCCTTCCCCAACCCCAAGTTGCCTCTATTTCACGCCTCCCTCTCTTACCACTCCCTTTAACACCCCACCCCCTTTTCTCCTTCCCCTGCTTTCCCCAGTTCTAGCCCCTCTTCCCTAGACTGAGAAAATGCCATTGCTGGCCCACAAGGGTGGGAATGGTAGGCTCCTTCCCTTTTTCTGCAGGTGGCTGGGGTGGGCACATTTTTTTTTTTTCCAGACCCTCAGCGTCCCTTCCTTTCCCCGCTACTTCTCACGAACCCCGCCGCCGGGAGCGGAAGTGAAAGCAGTCACAGTGAAGGCGGAGGAATGGACAGAGAGCTCTGACCAGAAAGGAGCTCTGCGGCAAACTTCCTGACACAATTTGGCCAGTGGAAGAGCTTGAATCTTCTTCCAGGCTCTGTGTCAATCCCTCAGCTCTACTTTTGGTCCCCGACACCTCTGCTATCAATACATCACTAACTTCTTGGGTTGCCATATTCCCTCAAGGATCTGCCTCGGCGGAGGGTTCACTGCCCCCCTACTCTGGGCCATGAGGAGCAGCGAGCAGAGTGGCTTGAACCACCCTCACCCAAGCCCCCTTTTGACAGAGAACCAGGTCCACCCAGACAGGCTGACGGCTACCAACAGTCTACCACAAGAAATTTCCCTCCAGGACTTTCCTGGTAGTCCAGTGGTTAAGAATCTCCCTGCCAATTTAGGGGACACGGATTCCACCCCCGGTCCGGGAAAATCCTACATGCCGCGGAGCAACTAAACCCGCGAGTCTAGAGCCTGTTGTTCGCAACAAGAAGCCACCGCACTGAGAATCCTGCCCTCAAAGCACAGTAGCCTCTGCTCGCCTCTGGCGCGACTAGAGAAACCCGCGCAGCAACAAAAACCAACCACAGCCAATAATAATAATAAATAATTAAAAAAAAAAAAAAGAATCCACCTGCCAATGCAAGAGACAGGTGTTCGATATCTGATCTGGGAAGATTCCACATAGCGTCGTGCAACGAAGCCCGGGAGCCGCAACTACTGAAGCCCGCGCGCCCTAAAGCCTGTGCTTCCCAACAAGAGAAGCTACCGCCATCAGCCCAGTACCCCTTCGTGCACTGCGACGAAGAGTAGCCCCCGCTACCCGCAATTAGAAAGAGCCAGCGCAACAACCAAGACCCAGTGTGGTCAAAAATACTTAAAAATTTAAAATTCCCTCCATTAAACACAAACACACCTCCCTCCAGCTGGTGACTGGGTCATGAGGCGCACTAGAGAAAAAGAGGAAAATTTCAAGGCACACAGTTAAGAGTGTAACACCTCCCCTTCCCCACAGCTTCGCTGACGGACTTATTTAAAGCTGCCCTTAAGCTTCAACTAGTCTCTCTTCATCCCAAGCTTACTCTTCCTTTCACGCCTCACTCCGCTGGAAATAGGGGGAAAGAGCTCTGTCAGATAGTTTTCAACCTCGCCGGTCGCTCCTACACTTCTCACTGTTGCAAGGTACGTCAGAAAAAAAGCTGCCAGCCATTCTCACAGGCTACCTGTGAGACCTCAACCATAGGAGCTTTCCCTCAGGATTTGCCTTATTCACCATTTAATTAGCCGCCAGGACGTTCAACTGTGTGGAAATACAAAATTCAGCCTTACTTAAACGGACTGTGAGAGACTTCGCGCTGTGGCCTTGCCGCGGTCCCTTCAAGAGCCGTCTGGCTCCACAAGCCGTCTGGGTGTCGGGAGCCGGGAGGTTCCGCGCCGTGTCGTCCTGGACACTAACGTTCGCTGCGCGGCCTCTCGCACCGTCGCGTCTTCTCGCACAGTCGCGCTCGGTCGCGGAGTTCAGCCCGCCCCCTCTGCGGTCTGCCACAGAGGCCAGCAGCCGGCCCCGCCCCTACCCAGCCTCGCCCTATGGCGACGCGGCGGGGGCGGGACTGGGTCTCTCTCTCTCTCTCTCTCTCTCTCTCTCTCTCTCGGGGGCCACGCCCCCGGGATCCACGCCCCCGCGGTAACCCTCATTTGCTGCCGCGCCGGTCTCTCCAGGGTTGCCCGATTGGAGGGGTCCTCGAAGGGACGCCGGGGCCTCGGTCCTCCTAAAAGCAAACACGGTGCCTCCACCTCGCCCCGCCATGTCCCCTCCCTGAGCGGAGTCCTGGTGTTGGCTGGTCTAAGGGAGGAGGGCTGAGGTGAGATTCTCCGATTACCACAGCTGTCGTGGCGTGGGGATGCGAAGCGAGGGAACGGAGGAGGGGCCTGGGGAAGGAAAGGGATGTGGCCCACAGACTTGAGCACCGACTTTAGGAATTCTTCACTCGCCTCCTGCCATTCTTCCCCACCCCCAACCGCTGGGCCCTTCTCTCTGGAAGGGTAGCAGGGATAGAAGGAGATTCTTCACTGACTACCCGTTGTACCTTTTTAGCTGTGAACCATGTTTGTTATTGTTTAGTCGCTAAGTCATGTCCGACTCTTTGCGACCCCATGGACTGTAACCCATCAGACTCCTCTGTCCATGGGATTCTCCAGGCAAGGATATTGGAGTGAGTTACCATTCCCTCTTCCAGGGATCTTCCCGACCCAGAGATCAAACTTGAGTCTTCTACTCCTCCTTTATTGCTGACAGATTCTTTACCGCTGAGCCACTGGGGAAGCCCGAAAATACAGGATGCCCAGTTAAATTTGAATGTCAGATAAACAATAAAAATGTTTAGTATAAGTATACCCCAAATATGGGATATACTCACACCAAAAAAAAAAAGCTTTCATTGTTTACTTAACATTCAAACTTGACTGGGCATTCTGTATTTTATTTGACATCCCTACACCCCAAATATTGGCTCGAGAGGGAAAGCCACTCCTACAATTTTCTTTTTTCAGTTTTCTGTTTTCATTTCTTAAATTGTTAGCCCAAAGTTAAATTGTTAGCCCACAGCCTCACTAGTCTATAGATGCAAATGAATTCACTTAAAAATAACAAATGTCCTTGGCCTGCCCGTCTCCCAGTGCAGGACTTTGTCCCTCTGAGATACCGCACTCTGGGGCTTCCCCCAAAGAGATTCCTCGGCTCCTGTGGTGCCCACAGTCCCCTAGGCCACAGGAGGGCAGCGGTTACTTGCCTGCACAGTGCGGCTGAGCCTGTGCCTCAGCGCCCTCTGCTGGTAAATTCCAGACTGCAATCTCGGGGGCTGCCCAAGGACCCTGGGCTCCACCATTCAACAGCTGAGCGAGTTCCTTCAGGGAGAGAGAAAGGCCTCTTCTTCCTCCTCTCATCGGACTAACAGCAGATGGCCTCTCCAACTCCCCTCTCTGCCCCACCTCCTCCTTCCTCACGATGCTAAGCCTCCTCTTGCCTCCTCTTGGCTACCTCCACCTCAGATGTCCAGCCTGGCTCTGCGCTGACCAAAGGCTCCTCAAATGCTAGGCATGAGCAAGGGTCACAGTCAGCTGCCTCTCCTGCTGCATCACTCGCACTGCCCAGGTTCTGCCCTAGACAGCCAGATAAGCTTGTATCCATTTAAACCTCCCATCCTCACCCCAGTGGTGCCTTGGCCAGTCTGTAGCAGCTCCTTTCAAGGAAGGATGACTTATTCATTTTCTGTCTCTCCATCAGGTGGGACTTGGTCCTCCTAGCACAGGCACAGGGCAGAGTGAACAAATTCTAGCAAAATGAAGACTGAGAGGCTGGGGCGGGGATGAAAGGACCTCCCTGGATCAGAGGCAAAGTGTGATTTTCTTTTTTTTTTTTTAATAAAGACACTTCATTTACAGATAATACAAAATAAACCACAGGACAAACTACTGTGCAGGAGGAGGGACAGTCCCCATTTTAACCCCCCTCCCCATCCCAAAATAAGTTATATAAAAAATGTAAAAGGCCCTAGAAGGAGGGGGATGGGTAGGGCTGGAAGCACCTTTACTGATTGGGGATTGGGGCCTGCAGTCCTCAGCCACTCTATTCCAGGGCAGAGTGGACCCTGGCTTGCTCCCTTCCAAGTCCTGGGCCTGGCAAGGAGGGGACACAGCTACAAGGGCAGTTGGTGGTCATTATTGAGGCTTCCAGGCCAGGGATCCCAGCTTCTGACTCTAAAGGGTTGGAGTAAGTAGGGTGGTGAGTGGCACTGGGGGTGGGCACAGGGTTGGCATTATTGCAGTGCTCCAGTCATCTTCCTCCTGGCCCTGGACACGGGTCTGCACCGGGTTCCAGGGAGCAGCCATGTCAGGGAAGGAGTGTAGGGATCCTCAAAGCGACGATGTTGTTGAGTCCACCACCTCGCGGCCATTGCAAACAGTGGGGACAAACTGGGAGCCAGACCCTAGGAAAAGGAAACTGGAGGTTGGGGCTAGTCTTGAGGTCCCTTCAGTCAGTGGGCATCAGGGAGGCAGGACTGCGGAGAGTAGCTCACCACCCCCCCTACCCCACTCCTGTTCAGCCTCATCTAGGGGCACTCCACCCCCAGCCAAAGAGTCTCAGCAACCCAGGAAGCGGCCCCCATGCTGAGAGTTGGGGCAGGGGCTTATCATAGATGGACGCTGACCTTGGCCGAGGCTGGAGCTGGCTCTGGCAGCTGCGCTGCCGAAGCGGCTGGTGGGCGTGCGGTGGCTGACCACGTTCTTTTGCGGCTGAAACAGGATGATGTGCAGCTTGGGTGCAAACAGACAGCCGAGCACCACAGAGCCACTGAGACTTACTGACACGCACATGGTGGTGGTCTGCACCTGCAGTGGGAGAGGTCAAGGATGAGTCTGTCCCAAGGCCTGGCCCTGGCCCTGGGAACCCTGCCCAGGTGGTGGGGTCCCAGCGGTGGGGACCGTAAGCATCCAGCCCTGGGCCCTGGTCCATTTGTCAAGTCCCAGAGAATTTTTAGGAAGGTTGGGCACAGTCCCAGCATCAGCCTCAGTGCACTGTCTTCCAGGAAAACCAAAGTTCTAGCTGTGGGGTTAGGGTGAACATGCAAGGTGCATGTATGCATGGGAGTGTGTGTGCAGACATGTATCTGTGGGGGAGGTGCAGGCATGGAGTGCTGGCATGTAGTCGCATGTGTATCTGTATGCGGGTGTGTGTATAGGGGATGGTGAGAGTAGGCAGTTGTGTGTGAAAGTGTAGGATGCATGTGTATGGATATGTGTAAGTGGGTAGATGTGGATGCATGCCAAGTGTGCAGGTATGTGCACATGTGTGTGAATATAGGGATACCTGTGTGTGCATGCATGTTTGGGGTCGGTGTGTGTACCTCCCGGCTGAGTCCTTAGCCACTTATGACTGGCATGCAAGTGCAAATGATACGCAAATACAGGTTGAGTCAGAGCAGATTCCCTCCCCAGCTCATCCTCCACTGCCCAAGCAGGTGGCCCAGCAGGAGCACGAGCAGCCAAGCCCAGCTGGCCCTGGCCCTGGCCCTGCCCACCATACCTCTGACCTGAGGGAGAGGGCCTTTGCAGGGGCTGTTGCCTCGGTATTCCTGCTCCTTTAATTGTTAAGATTGTCAGCTCAGACCCTGCTCTATACTCCCATGCTGAGTGACCTAAGGGAAGGGATTGAACCTCCCTGAGTCTCCATTTCTTCATCTGTAAAATGGGGAGAGTTATGGAATTTACTACAGAGTCATGAGGACCACTGAAGACTATCCTCGTATTGTTCAGAGCACCCCTCACCTGTCACCTCCTTGGAAAAGCCTTCCCTGAGCGCCCCATCTGAAGCAGCCATTGTCCCTTGAAGCTGAGCAGACCCATGGAGCATTCAGTGCCAGTTGGAATTTTGCTTGGAAGTCACCAACTGGGGTACAGTTTTCACATGCTTTGACCTTCCCAAGCTCTACATCCCAGATCACCTCCCGCTCCTTGCTTCACCTTTCCTGAATTCCCTGGTTTCATCTCTCAACCCCAGAGTCACACAGCTCCAGGGGTGCCCCGTCACACTGCCAAGCTCTGAGGGGCATCAGAGCATCACACTCTTTGGGGCTGCTGGCTCCACAGCCCCACCCTGCCATTCCCATTCCTGCCTCCTTCTCACCTCTGCCTACCTTTCCATCATGTACACCCCCCACCACAACTCAAGGCAGAGGGAAGTGGGGAGGGCAGTGCAGACCCTCTGCTCCAATCAGTTTCCATATTGACTGTCCTCCCCACCTCTACCCTACCTATTCCAACCTGACTGCACTGCAGAGTTCAGTTCCAGGACTCCTTCTAGGCCCCACTCAGCCTTCCCACCTTGCCCCGGGGTCCAGTCCCAACTGGGCCACCATAAGCTGTGAGCTCCTGGGTGAGCATTTAACCTGTTGGAGCCTCAGAGTTATCAGAAGACTCAATGAGGGAGGTACCAGGAAACAGAAGGTCCCGTGTCCTGCTCTGCCCCCCCCCCCCACCTCAGCCTGCCCTGGAGCAGGTTGCTCACCCGGTAGTCACTGGAGGTGACATAGAAGATGGGCAGGAAGGCCAGCCAGATAATGCAGGTGGTGTACATAGTAAAGCCGATGAACTTGGCCTCATTGAAGTTTTCGGGGCACTTGCGGGTCTTGAAGGCATAGAGTGTGCAGAGGGCAATGAGGAGCACATTGTAGGCCAGTGAGCCCAGCATGCTTGCATCGCGGTGGTTGCAGCGCAATGTCACTACCTCCCGCCGCTCAGGGGCTGTCTCCTTGCCTGTGCCCGGGGCCTCCACCACCAGCCAGGTGACCACGATGAGCAGCTGGCCTGAGATAAGGGCCAGGCAGATGGCCACCTGTGAGGCAGGGCTGATGAAGCGCGGCCGCTGGGCTCCCTCCCGGGCCCCACCGAAGATGCGCGCAATGCGGTTGGTCTTGGTGAGCAGGGCTGAGTAGCAGACGGA